AATACATAGATCTTAGAACAGACCAAGTTTTGTTTTTCTCCTGCAAATCTAACAAACATTCCTGACAGTATAGGTATCTGCCTCCTGAAGTTCCCATTAAATCTTGTAACCAAATTCATTTCTTCTTGCCTAGAGACAATAAATCTTCAGATGATCATGCGACAAGGGTTCCAGCCAGCTCCAGGTAAAGACACCACCACTGGTTATCGAGGCGTTACCCTGACTCCACTAGAAAAAGCAAGGCAAGGGTTCTGTGATCCCCAGTAGGTAGGGACTATGCTCCAAAGCAGCATGAAGCAGTACAGAAGACCATCCGTGCCTCTGCCTCCCATAACAATTTATGGAGATCACTACTTTCAAGGCAGGAAATGAGGCAGGAGAATAGGGCCTGGAGGCAGGGAACCTAAGGACTTCCTAGAACTAAATCAAACGAAAACACTTCAGCTATGACAGGAAATATCCTCTTCATTTACACAGGGCGTACACCAAGTAAATGACTTTGCGACTTCACTTTAGCCTCTTCATCTACATATGGCATACAGCAAGTAACCAATGGAAACCTCTAGAGGGTATTTAAACCCCAGAAAATTCTGCAACCGGGCCCTTGACCTGCTTGCTTGGGCCACTCTCACCCTCTGGAGTGTGCTTCTGTTTTCAGTAAGTTTCTGCTTTTGTGGCTTCATTCTTTCTTTGCTTTGTTTGTATGTTTTGTCCAATTCTTTGTCCAAAATGCCAAGAACCTGGACACCCTCCACCAGTAACATAAGCAATAAAAGAAAAAGAAAATTAAAATTAGACCGAATAAAATTTTTAAATCTTTGCAGCTCAAAATAAATCAAGAAAGTAAAAAGAAATCTACATAGAGGTGCATATTAATCAGGAATGCTTGCCGACACGTACCCAGATACATATAAAAGAATATTTATGGCAGCATTTATCATAGGTGCTACAAACTGGAAGCAACTCAAACAGCAGAATGTGTAACACATTGTGGCATATTTATACATTGGAATACTGTGAAGCAGTAAAAACAAATTACCTACAGTTTCATACCTCAATACATAAATTTTGAATGAAAGAAGCCACACATAAAATAAAACATACTACTTAATTCCATTTGCTAAAAGTTCAAAATCTCTCAAACTATGCGATAGCTATAGAGATTAAAATGTGGTCACTATTGGAGCAAAAAAAGGGGACAGTGCATGCCAGGGGCAAGAAAGGGACTTCTAAGATCTGAAAATAATGTATTCCTTAACCTAGGTAGTAATTATAAGGATATTTGTTTTGTGATAATCCGTTGTACTATGCAAGTATATTTTTAGCACTCTTGTATGGGTGCTACTTCAATTAAAACAAAACTGATTTTAAAGTATATATCAATCAAAATAAAGAATAAAAACAAAATTCATGGTACACTAACACTATTTATTAGTAAATAATTAAGTAGTGTACTCTTTAGTAAACTATTTTTACTAAAACTAAACTTAAAACTAATAATAAAACAATACTGAACTATTAGTTACTACTAATAGCAACTAATTATGCTACAGATGTAGATAAAATAATAGTAAACAGTGAAGCAATTCAAATATTTTTATTTTAACTGTTCTAAATCCAGTCTCAAATAGTATGTAAATGGTATTAACAATTTTTAAAGAGCTGATTACATAAAATACTTATAATTTATTTTTTAAAAAGTGTAAAATCCCAAATTCCAACAAATACCAAGAGATTGGAGGGAAAGGTACTGAGAAGTGTCATTGTGCTAATCAATTCATCTTGCCTTGTTGCAAAGGTCAATCAAGAATTATTGATCATATTTTTTCTTTACTTGTGAAATATTTGAAAGAAATGTATTTTAAAAATCTAGCTACATATTGTTTACAGGAGACATACTATAATAAAAATGACTCAAGAAAGGTATAATAAAGGCTTGAGTAAAATATGTGAATGAATGTAAACAAAATAAATTTCAGAAAATAAAGTAGAATATATGCAAAAAGTTTAATAATTTACAAGTCATTCTATGTTAGTAAAGAGTTTACTCCACAGTGGAGATATGTCAGTCAGAATTGTGTACTGAATAATAAAATCAAGATATATGAGGGTAAGTTTGACTGAAATTTAAAACAGACATTGATAGAAATAAAGTATTAGCCTAACACCACAAGAACTATTTTAGTTCTTAACAGATAATACAAAATCTCAAAAGAAGACATTTATGCAGCAGACAGACACATGAAAAAATGCTCATCATCACTGACCATCAGAGAAATGCAAATCAAAACCACAATGAGATACCATCTCACACCAGTAAGAATGGCGATCGTTAAAAAGTCAGGAAACAACAGGTGCTGGAGAGGATGTGGAGAAATAGGAATGCTTTTACAATGTTGGTGGGACTGTAAACTAGTTCAACCATTTTGGAAGACAGTGTGGCAATTCCTCAAGGATCTAGAACTAGAAATACTGTTTGACCCAGCCATCCCATTACTGGGTATATAGCCAAAGGATTATAAATCATGCTGCTATAAAGACACATGCACAAGTATGTTTATTGTGGAACTACTCACAATAGCAAAGACTTGGAACCAACCCAAATGTCCATCAATGATAGACTGGATTAAGAAAATGTGGCACATATACACTATGGAATACTACGCAGCCATAAAAAAGGATGAGTTCATGTCCTTTGTAGGGACATGGATGAAGCTGGAAACCCTTCTGAGCAAACTATCGCAAGGACAGAAAACCAAGCACTGCATGTTCTCACTCATAGGTGGGAAGTGAACAATGAGAATACTTGGACACAGGAAGGGGAACATCACACACCAGGACCTGCTGTAGGGTGGGAGGAGGGGGGAGGGATAACATTAGGAGAAATATCTAATGTAAATGATGAGTTAATGGGTGCAGGACACCAACATGGCACATGTATACATATGTAACAAACCTGCACATTGTGCACATGTACCCTAGAACTTAAAGTATAATAAAAAAATAAAAATTTTAAAAATTAAATAACATGGAAAATAAATGTATACTGAATCTAATACCCTAGAAAAAGTACCTTCTTTTCCAGAATTCATGATATATGTATATAAAATTGATAATGTGCTATGCTTTAAAGAAAGTCTCAATAAATAATCAGTAAATTAAAATCATTCAGGCAATTTTGACAATTACATGAGAATAATTAGAAATTAATAGCAAAAGTAAAACAAAATAAAACAAGACATAATTTGAAAGAAAATGCTGACAAGTAATTCAAACCAAAGGAGACAAATCTTAACTGTAACTACAGGGAATTTAGAGAATAATGAACATAAGAACACTGTACCTTAAAAATTCACTATGAGACTTGGCCAAATTAGTAATTAGAGGAACACTTACTATCTTAGAAAAAAGAATAAAGGATAATAAATAATATAAATAAAAACTCAAGAAACAAGAAATCCAACATAAGGAAAGGATAAAAAATGAAATAAAAGTAGAAATTAATGAATTTATAAACCAAAAATTGTAGGCTTGATAAATGAATCCAAGAGCTGATTCTTTAGGGAGCATAAAGTGAGTAAAATAAACAAGACTCTCGCTTATTAATATAGCTTAAGCTCAGTGTAGCCTGCATTCTCAAATTAATTGTTACTTATATACTGTACGACAGGAAGTTTATGCAAGAATATAAATTGACTAAGTCACTAAACACATTGTCGATGTTCACTAACTTTTTGCTTTTGTAAGTCTCTCTTGAAGCAGTGCATTGATTTATATCCTGGTGCAAGCTACTGGGAACTGGTTGAACTAGCTCTGCTATTAATCTAAAGTAGAATTAAGCTAATCCACAATATACAAAACGCACAATGCACAATATACAAAATTAATAAAGAACAAAGGGATTGTCTTTTTGATAGAGATAAAAAATTTATGAGGTAATATTAGTTTAATATATAATGCTAGATTAAAACGTTTCAAACTCATATAAATGAATAATCTTCAAAATAAAATAACAAATTGATATGCATAAACATATAAAGCCTATAAAATGAAGTGTTTAATAAATAAAAATTATCTCCAAGAAAAAAAAACTGGCCTCACATGATTGCCTAGCAAATTGGTGTTAGCCTTCAATATACAAATAGTTACCATATTATGTACACTGTCCAGAGTATAAAGTAAATAGGGCAACTTCTTCATAAACCTGATAGCAAAGACAGCATAACTTTGACATAGTACAAAAAATTAAGCAGCAAACCAATCTTAGTTAGAATAATCTTAGTTATAATTTTAAATGTAAAGCTCTAAACAAAATTTTAAGAAATAGAATCCAACCTTTATATATATCACCACCAAGAAAGCTTTAATGTAGAACTATAAATATAGTTCAAATAGAAAATCTGCTAATATCATCCATCATAGAAATATATGAAATGAGGAAACCATATTATTATCTTAATAGATTTCAAGAATGCAGTCAATAAATCATTATTTATTATAAAATAATTATTTTCTGATTACACACACACAAGCATACATGCATACAAAGCTATCTAGAAAGATAAGAATATTTCTTTAATGTGATACAGAGTATGCTCCTCAGAACAAGAGCCAGCATCATATTCAAGGATGACACACCAAAAAAACAATTGCAGTCACCACTTGTATTGGAAAATGTTCTGAAAATACAAGGCAACTCAGTAAATGAGGAAAAAAATATAGGAATATTTATAAGAAAGGGAGAAACTATATTATGTTATCATTTTGGTTTTTCGATTCTTTACTTGGACTGATATGAGAATCCATGAAATATTTAGAATGAATGAAGGTTTAGCAAATGACTGAAATTACATTGTGTATGAACTATTAAAAGTATAACATATATATATAGTTTTCCATATAACATATATGTAAATAAAATACATACAACTATTAACTAGCTAACATGCCCATAATAATAATTTGGAAAATACAGTGGAAAAAATAACATTGCCCATAATAATAAAATATGTAACTAGAAATTAACAACAAAAATTGTGAGCCCATGTGAAGAAAATTTCGCCAAAAGATACCAAAAAAGTGAATAAATGGAGTTGTTCTTTGTTATAAAGATGTCAATTAACCCATAATTAATTGATACATTTAATAAAATTTTATTTTTTGGAACTGTGAAAATACTCCTAATTTCATCTATGAGAGTAAACTTGATAGAAAAGTCAAGCAAAAGATTATCTTAATAGACTCTATTGAAAAAGAAGAGTAATAATTGGAGGCTATTCAAGGGAAATTTCAACAATCCTTAAAAGCTACAATAATTAAATAGTGTGGTTTTGATATCTGAATATAAAGAAGCATTAGTGGAGCAGAAGATAAAGATCCACAATACAGCCCAAGCACATACGTACTGAGAATACTGTACGGTGACATTTTTTCAATACGGTAGGGAAAGATGACTTGGTCTACACAATAGACAGAGACACACGGTGATCTAGCACCAAAAAAAAAAAAAAAATCACATTAGAGTATTACTTCACACCATATGTCACAAACAAACTGTGAAAATATCAAACAGTTCAATAAAAACCTAAACCCATCAGAAAAAAAAAATACTATAGAAGAATAATTTTCTAATCTTGAGATGGGGAAGACTATGAGCATGACATAGTAGCCAGTAAGTATAAAGAAAACTACATTTTACTTCACAAAAATTAAAATAAAATAAAAGACAAATCTGTAATTTTTAAAAGCTAATAACAAAATAGGAGAAAATTTTGGAAAAATATGTGAGAGGAAAAAATGGTTTCCATTGATAATATTTTTAAATCTTAAAAGAAAAAAGATAGAAAAATACAGAAAATATATTCATTAAATATACCAAAGAAGAAATGTAAATGGACTAAAAAATATATGAATAGAGTTTAGATTCACTGATATTCAAAGAATTGCTGATTAACAAGAAAATGGAGTATTTACTAATATTTGCTGGTATAAACTCTTTTTCGCTAATGTAATTAGCAAAAAAAAAAAGAAAAAAATATCTTCAAACATTTTTTATTAAGATAAAAATCGATCTCATTGTTCTAGGAAATGTTATATTGAAGATCTGAATAGCATTTCTTCAAATGCCTTTGACTCAAACCATAAAGAAATAGAAATATACAAAGCTACATGAGGATGTTTTTGGTCATTGTCTCCCATTCCCTATTCCAGCATTGGTGATAATGCTTTATCAATTGAAATGCATGAACATTCATTACCATCCTAAGAACTGAAATGTTTCCCCATATTTCCCCAAGTTTCACTATAGATCAATTCCCAAGCAGTACACTGTATTAATGGAGTTCTTCCAGGCTTTTTCGTACCTGTGATTTGATTAGACTTTGTGAGATCAACACAATTCCTGTGTTTAAAAAAATTTTACAACATGGCAGTTTCTTTTCCTGAATCCCAACTTAAAAAGCCAAAGGGGAAGGAAAGAGACTCGGGAAGGAGTTTTTGCAAATTAGTCATCACATAAAACTCACCTTAGTGGCCCACCTCAGCACAGGAAAGAGTAAAGAAGAAACACATATTCTCCGTAGGTAACAAGCATTCTGGAACCTGTTTCTTTACTGCAGTGCCTGGAAACATCTAGAGCAAATTTGATTTTTCTTTTCTTCTGATATGGGTTAGTTTTGTGACCTTTAGTTCCTTGAAGACTGTTAAGGCTTAATGGTATTTTGAATTTTTCATTTATACAATATAATTGCATGACTAGGGAAATATATTTGTGTTTCATATATGCAATCAAAAGAAAAAGGCTAATTAGTATGAAATATTCACAGGGGATCAAGAATTCATCGAAAGAATAACTCATAAGTACTTCCAGCAGGGCAGAAGACAGATTGGGGCAGTGTCTGCTGCAGGTATGGGGAGGGATTTGGCCCACGGGGATTTCATTTGGATTTGTTTCAGATAAGGTGATAAATGGATGGAGTTGATTTGGAACTGAAGTTTAAGGGGAGCTTCTGAAGGAGCAAGAGGATATGAGTGATCAATGACACATCTAGATTATGAAAATGTGAATTGTGTTAATAGCTTTTCTATTTCAACAGCCAAGGAAGTCAAAACCCTAAAGAAAAGCACTGGAGTATACATTTTTGGTATTTGAAAGTCTATTTCTCAAACAAAAGTATATATCCAAGAGGCATTTTAAAATAGACATTGACTATATCGGTCTACTTTTCAAATTATTAAATGCAATATTCTTTATTCATGTATTTCTGTGATTTCATTTGCCTTGTTAATATAGAGTTATTCTGCTACTGTGTTGTCCAAGTGTTGGCTGGCATTACAATCCTGAATACTTGGAAGACCTCTGCATCAACAGGTATACTCAGGAGGGATTATTTTGGTATTATTTGCTGTTGTGTTAGTTAAACTCTGCTTATTAGCCTCTGGATACACTTTCAAGTAGCAATGTATCAATGGTACAAGGTTATGCTAAAAAGCCTTAAGTTAAAGAAACTTACCAAGGGACTCTAGATCTAAAAATAGTCTCATATTTTAATAGCTGTTGTAATCCATTATAACACAAATTTGTTAAAGTGCAATACAGAATTCCACTCAGTTTCTCTTTCAATTCAGGGCAGAGAGCAGAGATATAGGGAGACAATCATCAGATGATAAATTAAGGAGACATTAGCTTAAGAAAAATGTATTACCTTCTGGTTCAGCTGAGTGGTGGATGTGAAACATACCCTTGTAGAGTAGATAGAATACAGGGAAAAGTAGTGTCCCCAGAGATACTTACAGGTAAGCTGCATTTCTGAATACCTGTCGATACTGTATAGTCCATACATTTCTTTGCTTCGTCCTTTTAAAAAAGTGCACTGCCTGATCTGACTCAGCTACTAATCCCTGATTCTGCCTTTCTGACTTCCTCTTATATCCTTTATATTTTTTTCATACCCATTCCCAAAGCTTCCCATGCTTTTCTAAAAAATAAAAATAAAAACAAAAGTCCAGCCAGGCGCAGTGGCTCACGCCTGTAATCCCAACACTTTGGGAGGCCGAGGCGGGCGGATTACACCATCCTGGCCAACATGGTGAAATCCCATCTCTACTAAAAATACAAAAATTAGTGGGTCGTGGTGTTGCGCCCCTGTAGTCCCAGCTACTTGGGAAGCTGAGGCAGGAGAATCGCTTGAACTAGGGAGATGGAGGTTGCAGTGAGTCAAGATTGCGCCACTGAACTCCAGCCTGGCGACAAAGCGAGACCACATCTCAAAAAAAAAAAAAAAAAAAAAAAAATCCAGTATGTACCTGCCTCAGAGTCTCTGCTTGAAATTCCCTTTCAGATACCCACATAGCTTGGTCCCTTCCTGCTTAAATGTCATCAGCAAGCATTCCCTACCATATTATATAAAATAATACTCTCCCTTCTGTATTCCCCATAGCCCTTATCCTGCTCCATCTTTCTCCGTAGTAGATATCATCATCTGGCTTATTCCTTATTTGCTTATTTGTTTAGTCTTTCTACTCCATTAGGATGTTTTTAAGGAACCATATCTGATTTTTTTCACTGCTGTGTCTACCCCATTGAAGCAGTGTCTGGCACCTAATGGCCACCCAATAAATATTTATTAAATTAAATGACTAGCAGAATATTAATCTCTTGTATGAAGGCAGTTAGATGACTGTTCTGAAAACCACTTATGTGGCTTACACTGTGCCTCATGCAGAGTGTAATGAGTCATGCTTGATGAAATGATTTGTTGGGGTTTCCTCCTCCCCTACCTCACACTTCAAACCCTATGTCATGGGGGAAAATATAGGGATTCCCTGGTCTAAATAAACTGTTCAAAAACAGCCAACATGAGTGTTTCAACAAGCAGATAGTAGTATTGGAAGGAATGCACACTCCGTTTGGGCAAAATCTGTGTATGGAGAGGTTTTTCACAGTGTGTGTGTATACATGCATATGTCAATGTATGAGGCTGAAGGAAGGTATCAAAAAAGAAACGTAAAAATGAAGTCATATGGCCAGAAACATTTTAGGAATCAAACTTATATTGAAAACAATCTACTTTGTACTTGAAAATGAGAAATAGTTGTGTGAGGTAGGCTTTTCTGTCACTCTAAGAGCCTTGGAAAGGCATAAAAATGTTGAGTAAGACATTCCTTAAATGCACTAACCAGCAATTTTAGGGGGGGGAAAAAAAAGAATGTTCTTGGATGATAGAGAAAAATACATGGCAATAAAAATCTGACTTTATATTAAGAAGTTTCCTGATGCCAGAAACAATGCCAGGAAAAAGAATTACAGTGATTGGAGCTGGAGTCAGTGGATTAAGCGCTATTAAGAGCTGTCTGAAAGAGGGACTGGAGCCCACCTGTTTTGAAGGAGGCGGTGACATTGGAGGAGTATGGAGATATGAGGTCAGTTTGAATGGTCTTATGTCTTTATGTATATGTGAGTTCCGCACCTGGGAAATAGAAATACAAGAATTGCAGCACTAATTCATCTTTCAATTATCAGCATAATAATAACTATTTTTACTAATGTCTACACCTGTGTGTTGAATCTCATTCTCTTCTTTTCCTCAAGGTTGATGTTCAGTCAATCCTTCTTCCTTTGGGAGTCCAGCTTCTTGAGGGAAGAATGTATGCTTGCTCTCTGCCCTTTCTCACCTCCCGCCACACTTCAACCATTGCTACACGATGGGCATCTCCAGCACTTCCTGAAAACTGTTCTCACTGCTGTTTCCAAAGGTGTCAAATCAAGTGGACCTTCTGGCCTAATTTTTTTTTGCTTTCTCAAGGAGAGCTAATAATGTTAAAACCCAATCAACCTTCTTAAAAAACATTCGTCCCTGGCTTCTACAATTTCACTCTCTTTTCTTCTCTGCCTTTCCTTTTCAATATTTTTCCATTTGGCCTATAGATGTGGCTGGTTGTAGCTTTATTTTCAGTCTTCTGTTCTTTTAACTTTTTGCTCATTTCTTAGGCTATCTCCTTATCCCTTCTTGACTTCAGCTGCCATATATGCTAATATATAATCTTTAGATCTTTATCTTCAGCCTAACAACATATGTATACTAGAGCAACTAACACTAACGGTCCCACAGACAAATTCTGAAACCTTAAGAGGTTAGCATAATAACCGTAGCAGATATGATTAAGTAACATTTCTTCAACTTTAACTTATACCCCTGGACCATATAGCCTCCAAGGGTGCCACAGAAGGGAAAAGAGAGAAGGTGGAAGGCTACTGACCCATAACTGCCTAGGGCTAGCCTAGAGGTGGGGTGGCTACCTGATTTTGCTAATCTCTAGGATGTTCCACCAACACCTCATTAGCTTTTGAGGTCTTTCATTATCTGTGAGATCAGTTCCCTGCATTACCTTCCCTGTCTCAAGTTAAGAGTAGTTTCCATGTTCCTGGTTGATCCCTGATTGGTACAGACACATCTCCAGGAAGACTTTCCCAGCACCACCCGCCTCCAGGTCCAAAGCACCCTATGGACACACCACTATTATATCTATTACACGGCATGTGATTGCTGATCTCCTGTGTTAGGTTTTCAAAGCATTTTATGTGAATTATTTTGTCCTTATAACAATACTGTGACTACAAGGACAATGCAAAGACTTATTTAGACGGAGAAATAGATTCAGACAAATGATTTGATGTCAGGTTCTTTTTCCAAGCCACACAATGATATATATTAAGAACCACATCAAAATACCACCTCATGTCATCTCACTTCACTAGGGATGCTTACATGTCAGGCTGTCACGTATTAAACTGCTGGTCATATTTGCAGAGAATAACCTTATCAGGAGGGGGTAGTTTTGTATACAAGTACATCAGTAAAATGAGTTTTATTAATAAATAATGCTCTCCAGTTTGAAGAAGAAAACATATAGTTTGATTTTTCCTAAAGCTGATATACTTTAGCAGGAATTAGATTCCATATTTCAGGCTTGAAATATTACACACGATACAAAACATTAAAACCCCCAAAATTGTGTTTTATGTGTTCATGTAGTTAGGATTACAATAATTTTTTCTTGGAGAAAACAACATATTTTCAGTGGTGGTATGTTTTACCTTAACTTTAAATTACTTAGATATGTAGCCATAATTTAAAAAAAAAAAATCAAGAATGGCTGTTAATGTACACAACAGATACTATATATTGTATGGGCTCCTATTATATCTTGGAAAATGAGAATAATGTGCTTCATAGAATTGAATTATAAGTCATTGCATATTGAAAACTCTTCAAAACCATAAAGTACAGTAGTGTTAAAACATTATATGCCCATCTGCATGTGTATAGATAAATAGATAATATAGGTAGCAAGAGATTAGCAAGAGATCTTGAAAGATAGACCGAGACTGGAAGGGTAAACATCAAGATGTTTAAAAGGATCATCATGAATTATAGTCTTCACCATAATTTTCTATAAAATAATAATAAACATGTGATGCTCTTATAATTAGAAAAAATTGCCAATATAAAAAATAAAGGATAAAAGAAAGTCTAAGTATGATCACTACTATTTTCTATGAGTCACTACAAATAGCCCAGGGCTTCCTGGATGCCCTCTGCCCAGTACTCTCCAGTCACCCCTCAGTCTAGAACTTGAACCCCTCCAAACTCTGCAGGCAGAGAAGTAGCGCTTATCTTCCTCTGCTTATTTTCACTTTCTGGTGTACTATACACATTTTTCTTTTCCTGTCCTTCTGTCTGTTCCCCAATAAATTTTTTTTTGCTCTCCTTAACTATTTGCCAGAAAATATCTTCTCTCTTAGTAAAGGTAATGGGAAATTGCTTTCTTTGAAAGAATTTAGTCCAGGAGCCTCATAATTCAACATATAAAGAGATTTCTTCCTTAACTTGTTACTCTTGTATTCTAAAAGATGGTGAGTGTCTTCTTCTCTTTTAGGAGAAGGCTGACGGTGGCAGGGCAAGCATCTATAAATCTGTCACCAGCAACACTTCAAAGGAAATGTCAGCCTATGGTGATTACCCTTTCCCTGCCCATCTTCCCAACTATTTGCACAATTCTAAACTGATGGAGTACTTCAGGATGTACATCAAACACTTCCACCTTCTGAAGCACATCTGGCTTATGATAAATGAGGCAGAGGGCACTTAGCACAGGTGGAACCCTCTTGGGAAGGTGAAAAGCCAGGCCAGAGCAAAGTATAGCAAGGGCTCCATTCAGTTCGGGGGGTTGACTCGAGCATGACAAGGTTCACCTTACATACATCTTCAGTGAAATCAGCAGGAGCGCCGGGCGCGGTGGCTCAAGCCTGTAATCCCAGCACTTTGGGAGGCCGAGACGGGTGGATCACGAGGTCAGGAGATCAAGACCATCCTGGCGAACACGGTGAAACCCCGTCTCTACTAAAAAATACAAAAAACTAGCCGGGCGAGATGGCGGGCGCCTGTAGTCCCAGCTACTCGGGAGGCTGAGGCAGGAGAATGGCGTGAACCCGGGAGGCGGAGCTTGCAGTGAGCTGAGATCTGGCCACTGCACTCCAGCCTGGGCGGCAGAGCGAGACTCCGTCTCAAAAAAAAAAAAAAAAAAAAAAAAATCAGCAGGAGCTTCCCTCTTCCCTTCCTTTAGGAAAAAAAAAAAAACGGTGGATTGGCTGAAACATCAGACTGGACCCCTTTTGTAGACTCACCCCTAACTATGATGCGAACCATGGTTGGGAGCAAACCAGATTAAATAAGGCTCTACTTAAAGAGGCCTTGGTAGCAAAATCAATTCTAAAGGAACTCATTTATGAAAGCCCGGAGGAGAGTGGCTATAACCGACCTTATTCATTAAGGCCAAGAGTTCTTGGGAAGGAGGGCAAGTGGGAGGAGTCGTCATGAGTCTGAGTTTGTCTCATTCCCAGTCAAAGGTGTGCAGTGTGAAGAAGTGCTCTAACTTCTCGTGCACAAGGCAACGGGATGTTGTGGTCGAGACTGGAGGGAAGCAGAAATCCTATGTCTTTCATGGGATTGTGGTGTGTAGTGGCCTTCATAGCCATTCTGTATTACCACTCTAGGACTTTCCAGGTATGTCATACAGAATGCTAAGGCACTGCTTTTATGGGGTTCTATCATTGTTGTTATTGATATGTATTTTTAAAGTTTTCAACTCTGAAAGTCACCTTATTTTTACAATAAATATTACTTTTCTGACTGTAAAATAATGCATGCTCTTTGAAAGTCCATTCAAATAATACATAATGTTTTAAATTGAAAATAAAAATTACTAGTATCTCATCAGCACCTGGATTACTTAAGAGCAAAGTCCTACATTTTACCACAATTGGAAGATTGTTTTGTGGTGGTAATAGTTTGGAGTAAATAGGAAAATCAAAGCTAGAGAAAATGTTTTTAGATTTAGCCTTATTTCATGTGTATGTATATGCATAGCATGACAAATATAAATAGCTATTTGCTGGTGTTACCATGCATCTTAAAATAGACTGAATGTTACTGTTCTACTATTTGGAAGCTCAAGCACCTTGAATACTAGGAATGGTGCAGGAATAATTTCCCTACACAAGATCTCTCTGTTCATCGCTAGAAATATGATACGTATTTAGTCTTCTTGAAGAGTACTGAACCTTAGACTCCTTCAAGGTTCCCAGGATACTCTGGATTTCTCCACATCCATTGTTTCTTTCCCAGTGTATGAAAAGATGAGAAGGTCATAACTGGACAAGAGAAGTCTATTAACTAACTAGTTAATTAGAGATTTAAACATTCCTGTATTTACACATTCAATAATAATTCAAGAAATGCCTATTGAGCACCAACTTACCAGAGGCTCAGCAGAGAGCAAAACAGACAAAACCTCCGTCCTCAAGGAGTGTGCATGGTAGTTGATGGAGACAGACACAAATGGGATAAATATGTTGGAGAAAATAATTGTCGAAGTGAAGCATTTACCAGGGAAGGAGGAGGGGTTTTAGCAATAGGGGATTGTCTTACAACATTAAATAAGGTGGTAAGGCAAGACTCAGTTAGAAAGGGACATTTAAGTAAATAGCCAAAGGAGCTGAGAAAGTGATGCAGGTATCTGGGGAAAGTATACTGTTTTGAAGGAACAGCGTGTACAAAGGCCTTGAGGTAGGAGTGTGCCTGACAATTCCAGTGTGGCTGGACCAGAGGAAAGAGTGGGAAGAAGATGATGACAGAGAGTGAAAGAGGACCAGATCAAGAAGGGCCTTTAAATCTTATGTTTGGACTCTGACTTTGGACTCTGAGCCTCAGGAGTGGCATGCTCCCACCACTTTGACTGCCATGTTAAGAATAGCTGGGAGAAGATGGTAGTGGTGGAAGCTGGGAGACCAGTGTGGATGCTCTTGCACTAACCCAGGTGAGAGAAGATGGGGACATATATTGATACAGAGATGATGGGTACACGTATCGAGGTGGTAGTAATGGAGATATATAGAGATGTGCTTGGATCCCACACGTAGTTTAATGGTAGAGATGACAGGATTTAGTTATGAATTAGAAATGGGATGTGGCAAAAAGAGAGGGGTCCAAGATAATGCCGATGTTGTTGGCCTGCATGAGGGAGAGAGATTGAGGAGGCCACAGAATGACCAGGTTCCAGAGATGCTCATTGAGAGTGGGAAAGAATGGAGTAAGATTGAAAACATTCAAAGGAGGGAGCTAAATTTATTTTCTAAACACTTACTGTGTCACAGGAGCATAACAAGGGATCCTTATACCATTCCTATGCAATAGGTAAAATAATTTCCACTTTACACGTTACAAAGTTAACTACTAGGAGATTCATGCCTAGGTTTGTTTGACCTCAAAGTCACGTTGATTCCAAGGGCAAAGAGTTCATTTTGGAAAAGAGAGATATTTTCTCCTGGGGAAAAGAAGCCAGAGGAAAGATAGATGAAAACACACCAACTTCTAGGTGTTGAGGAACTCACCTTAGAATTTTGTTGTTTTCACACAAATGAGAAGAAAGGTTATCTTCAGAGAATGAGAGGGATGACACTGGCACCGAGGAGAGGGGAAATAATTGAAGTAGCTGCAGTAAGATAATTGATAGGGACTCCCCTATCCATGGGCAATTGAACTTGCCAAACGTGGAGTTTAGGGGCAATTAGAACCATGCCAGGAGTTCACTATGTGAGAATCAATAACTGTTTCCAAGGGAAAGCTAAAGTTTTGGAGCAAATTCTGTAGTGAAAAGGAGACTCAGCAAAGACTGAACCACCATCAGGACTGAGTAGGGCTGTGCAGTGTCACAGGAGGAGAGCAAATGAAGCCCATATGTGCAGACCCCAATATTGTTTAAAAGATGAAATGCTGCAAAACCAATCAGCTTTTATGGCTTTGCTACATAATGTTTCTCTTTAAGTCAAAGTAAAAAACTTATTTTTTAGGAAAAAATGAGTTCTTACATCCTCTTAGCTGCAGATCTTGTGGGTGATGATGGAGTGTTTGGCCCCAGTAGGAGAACAGAGAGATAGTGCTGGTAGGAAGGGTGTACTTGCCCCAGAAGGTAAAGGAAACAGCTATACAAGGATGAAGCTTGGGTAGGGAAGACAAGACAGAGGAAACTGAGTCCAGGGCAGTAGTTGTGAATAGCATGGGTGACAGATGAGGAAAATATATTACTTAAACAAGAGCTGAGCTCCTCCTTGAAGGCTTCTCAGAATACAGATAAGTAAAAAGGAGTCAGAGGTGAGATATCTGAGTTTCTCAGAAGTCTGGGGGTCTGTTCTGGCTTGGAATTTACAGTCTAGAACAAATGTGTAGGAGGATTCATTCTGCCTGATGGTGCTGGGCTGGCAGGGTCCATGACACTGGCGTCAGTAGACCAGCAAATGAGATGTGTAAACAGGACAACCTTTGAGTTCAGTAATAAGCTTTAGAGTATTCCAGGAGTTAAAATAAATGGAATAATGACCAGTGCTTTAGTAATTCTGTTCTTTCCCACAGGGATCAAGAGGTTCAAAGGCCAATATATTCACAATTGGCAATATAAGAGGCCAGAGAAATTTTGGGAGATGAAATCATTGTGATTGGCCTTGGAAATTCTGGAACTGATTTGGCCATTGAGCTCAGCCATGTAGCTGCACAGATTTGGCTACTAAAATTCTCTGCCCCACAGAGCAACCTGCCCACTTCTCTGAGCATTGCATGAAATATGTATAGCATCTACCCCGTCACACACACAGTCTTGATTGTTAATTACCTCTTCACACCTGTTTTCTTTGTGCAACATCATAGTAACCCATTTTTAAAAATTGAGAATGGAGTAAAAATAAATACTTCAAACTTTAACACCTGCCATATTGTTTATATTTACTAAAGCATCTGGATGCTTCATTAGGTCAGCCAAGGGTTTCAAAAATCAACATACCAGAAAACTATTTTTTATATTTCTTTCTTTTCCATTGACATGACATTTGACACCATCTCCCAACTCTGAGTCCTCCATACTTAGATTCCAGGGACATAATTAACAAAGTGCTCTAGATACTATAATACTATGATTAGCTGATAGATGGCATTTACATGTCAATTTGTTAATTTCTAATCTCCTTGCATTATTTAGTTTTTCTGGAATTTAGAACCTAAGTGATTGTATGTATGAAACCCTCCTTTGAAGAAGATTCAAAGGGCTAGTGAGTGAGATCCAGAGGGAGGCCTGGGCAGATTTCTGGAGCTATAAGCAATGTTAGGTGTGTCTGTATGTGTGAGTATATGTGTGACTGTATCTTGGTCTAACTGAATTTGAGAAGAGAGGAACACTTTAGGCTAAAAAGGCAAGAGACTTCTTATCCACTTATCCTCTTGAGCCAAATAAGAGATATATGAAGAATATTTCTCAGTTCCCAAGAACTGAGAAAAGCATCTTATGAAAGGAAATACATTGTGAGGCAGTTATTTTTCATATATTTGTCTTCTCTCCCAGGTGTTTCTCAGCACAAGACAGGGTGTATGGATTTGGAGCCGGGTCTGAGATTATGGGATGCCCATGGACACTGCCCTCGTTACTCATTTTAAATTTGTCCTCAACAAATTTTACCCTGCATTCTTAATCAACAGATGGACAGAGAATAAATTAAATGCTTGATTTAACCATGAAATCTATGGTTTACAATCCCCACATAGGTATGTTTTGGGATTTAAAAAAAATAATTTGGGGTCTTTGGGGTCAGCAGCTAAGACTTGGAACATAGAGGTGGTTTAGAGTCCCTGTTTACCATCTTGAAAATAAACTTCAACTATCTTAGGAGAATGTCAATCATTGTTGCTTTTATCATGCGTCTTTGAACCATTCTACTCACTTATCTTACAGGAAAATATCGAGTTCCAGGATTAGGGTGGCAGCTTCATCTGTCATCTGACACCATCTTCCAACTTTGACTCCTTCCATACTTAGATTCTAGGGACATGATTAACAAAGTGCTCTAGATACTATAATATTAATACTATAATTAGCTGATGGATGGGATTTATGTGTCAATTTGTTCATTTCTACTCTCCTTGAATTATTTAGCTTTTCTGGAATTTGGAACCTAAGTGGGGCATGAAAGTGGATAGGCCCACTCATTTAATTCACATACTGGCTACTTATATAATAAGGAACACACAGAAGGTACTCAGATAATAGTTATTCATTTACTACACTTAGTGTTTGGCCATTTCCTTCATGGTTCTCAGGCTTCTGAAATTCACTCCTTCTTTAGACTCTGAGACCTGCATAAGGTGGACAAGCAGTAGGTGGTATACTGTGTTATAAAGCATCACCTCCATTTTCCCAAGCCAAAAGAATCAGGAATCTGGCACTATAAGGGGAGCAATAAGAGGGGAGACTTGGGGCAGGGAGAATCCTTTGAAATGCAGCAAACGCTTTCTTTGCCTTGAATAGAATTGTGGATCCAGACAGCTATCTGAATCTTTGCTTCACTATTTACTAGCTATGTGATATCACCAAATTTACTTAACTACTTACTTACACCTCATTTTTATTTTATATAAAATGGGCACAATGTTAGCACCAACTTAGAAAATTGTTTTGAGCATTAAATAGGAAAGTACATGTATAGCTTGTACTAGTACCTAATGCATAGTAAATGCTCAACAAATTTGTGTTGTTTTATATTATTAATTTTCTGACTATAGTAAAATTATACCTATGGAATTTAAGTTATGGAGGTGACTGACTGACAATATGAAGAAGTCAATGCCATCTAAAGAACTTACCTTTACTTACATTTCCCAAGCAAAACGGGTGTGCTATACCATGCCGGGCCATAGAGGAGCACCATGTTTGGTCAGGCGGAAGCCAGAGCAAGGCAAAGAAGTAGAAGGATCAATAGTAAGGATGGCAAAATATAAAGAAGAAAATTTCAAGAAGGGAATGGCCAAACGTCAAGTGTAGTAAACCAGTAAATATTATCTGAGCACCTTCTGTGTGTTCCTTATCATATCAGTAGCCAGTATGTGAGTTAAAAGAGTGAACCCGTCCACTTCCATGCCCCAAAACTCAAAAAGGGAAGTTTGCTGGAAACAAATGAGGAAATATTGCTCAACTTTTGTATGAAAACAGTTTTTGTCTGCATCTGAAGCATACAATTGT